CCAGTGCCAGCTTCAGTGACAAGTCCTCAAATAAATGCCCGACGGCTAGACGGTGAAGGCAATCAGCTCCCACCTCGTCTTGGACAGTGGAAATCTAATAATTACTTGCGTCAAAGAGCTAAGAAATCCTCTGTGCAGCCTTCTGTAACTCCCTCAGGTTAGTACTGTATGAAAGAGACCGTATAGATTAAGAAATATTGCAGTATAGCTAATAATGCTCTAAGGTGAATTTGAATAAAGACTTATCTGTAAATGTTGCTCAAACTGTTATCTAGAAACTCTGATACAACTAATAATCTTTCAAACAACTACACTTCATACTCTTTTGTGTTGCCACTGTTTTTGATGTCATGCCATATGGCTGCTGGGATATTGATGTAAAAGCCTGATATAAAAGATCCTTGGGGCCACGTGATTCTTACTGAATTATTCTAATTCAGCAAGGAAGAGAAGAAAAGTTTTTAGGACAGACGTCATGGAAGACTGTGAGCAGGAAAAGTGGCTTGATGTCCAAAACCCGATACCAGCTAAGGATTCGACTCCCCAAATAAATCCCCGACGCATAGACAGTGAAGGCAACCAACTCCCACCTCGTCTTGGACTGTGGAAATCTGTTAATTATGTACGAAAAAGATCCAAGAAATCCTGTGAGCAGCCGTCCATTACTACTGGTTGGTATTTTATAAAGAAGACATTTTATTACAGCTTGTGGTTTCTGATGCTGGCAAAGGTCATTGAATAAAGATGCATTTAGAATTATGCTCAGTCATAACTGAACCTTAAATCTTATAGAACGCTCAAGTTATTTAAGACATTCTGCTTCAAACTGTTATTGATCTGGAAACACTGATGGGGCTAATGATCTGTAATAAGATTATAAAAGCACATTCAGTTTTTGAACTTGGCCTTCATCTTCTGCAGTTGGCCATACCTAAAAACAGTGTGTCTAGGCTATGCATATAGTGTATGTGTGTGTGCTTTTGAGCTGCCCATTGGATGCTAGGAATCTAAGAGACTGTAGTGTATGTGAATGTGCTTATAATATATGGTTTATGGAATTTTACAGCAGCTGCGGATGAGAGTTCAAACACTTGCATGTCAAATCCTGTATCGCTGGGCATCCATGTGGTCGGACCCTTGCTCTCAGTTAAATCAGGTACTAGTAGTGCTTAGTTGTATAACTTAGTTGTACAAGTCAGTTTTTTTTCCTCTGGTAAATTAACTGTAGTGCTGCAATTATAATTTTAGTAATTGACTGAGCTGTCAGTTACATATGTAAACTTTTATCTGTTCATTATTCATTATGTATTGCTAATAAAGCAATTTTGGTTGATACATTTTTCTTTGCAAAATTGCTGCTTTAGAGAACATAATCTTGAAGCTTGTGGCACAGAACCCCACTAGTCTACCTCCAGTACCGAACAATAGAAATCTCTCAGCAGACCTCCAGCCATCAGGTACGTGCACTTAGTGTTTGTTCAGGAATTTCTGAGATGTGTAAAATTGCCTTACTTTTGCTTTATTAGGTCATTCCAGTAGAGCTAATATTCTTTTGGGTGTTTTCTATTATAATGATTATCCTATGATCAATATGGGGAAAGGTAGACTAGTGTGATCAAACCACTTTCATGTTTTTTAACAGATCAGCAGCCTTAAAGGGGCTGACTTTTCAAAATTTCTGCATAAATCAATTGTTGATACATAAATAATCATAGATACATAAGTGTTTTGATATGAATGTGAATCTTGCTGAGTCAGGTTTCTTTACTGTGGTGGTGATAGGAACCAGGGGTTATGATGTCTATAACTCAAATATAGCCATTTTATTTGCTATTCAAAACCACCAGTTAACCTACATGTGTATTCTGAGGTCCAATAGGTAAAACTGATAATGGTAAATCTACTGGGGTAAAAGTTTTCTTTGGGGGCTATTTTGCCTTTCAGCACCCTTCACCGTGACTGGACTTTTAAAAATACATTTTAGCCCAAAAACTTTATTTCAGACCCATCATAAACAATGTCTCAGGCATTAGGCACCGTATTTGAAGCCATTTTATGTAATCTCTTCTGTGAGGGAGCTTTTAGTAGCAGTAAACTCTTTGGACAGCTGGTTCCTCTCACCCACCACTGTGAACAATTCTGACTCTGTGCGTTTCTCTAGAATGGAGCATTTTACATGAAATCCCTCTGAATTACTATGTTGACGTTTTAGCTATTAAAATATGCATCATTTTTTTTTAATTAGTAGAATTCTGTTAATCTGGAAAGTAGCTAATAAGCTAGCCTACTCAGAATCTGTGAGAAAATCTTATCAAGAGCATTATAGATTGTTTCTTGTTTAAACTACTTTGTGGTGGAAATGTGTCTGCACTTTGAAACATGGCTAATCTTAGACTGACTTGTACGCTTTCTGTTTTTGCAGGGCTGAATACAGTGCCACAACTTAATCAGAGAGCATTAGTCCTTCCATCAGTACCAAGCTCAAAAACTGCACTCAGTCAAACAGGTAACACATCTAAAGTTCTAATAGTAATACTCAATAAAAGAGGCACTCATAAGCACTCAAACCATTTTTGACAAGCATCATAGTTTTGATCATTCAAGTATAATGCGATGATGTGAACATAGCATATTAATATGCCTTCTGAAATGTTGGTCTTTGCAGCAACGGGACCATTCACTTTGCCGAAGATTGTATTACAGTCCTTTGGAATGGCTGATACTGTTGAAAAGCTTCAGCTTACAGGTCTTGAAAAGACTCCTCTACCAAGTTCCCCTCAAGCCTCAAAGGCTGCAGTACACTCAATGGATGTTACCTTAGATGTGCAAAATGAAGAGGCAGGAACGGAAATGGGTGACTCCTTAAAGATCTGCAAAGAAACTGAGAAATCTTTAGGGTCTGAGGAATCAAACGAGGAGATCCCAAGTTCATCCCCACCAGTCATTGAGAACTGCATCCAAAATATTACTGTGACTGAGTCAGAAAAAGACAAACCGCTCGCTGCAGGTTTGGTGAAATTGAGGAAAAAGAGGGCAAAACGTGATGTGATCATAGAAGATGCCTTATCTAACCCTGATGCCCTAGGGCCCAGATGCTTAGGAACAGATCTCCTGCTGCCAACAGAATGTCAACAAGGAGTACCCCAAAGAAAAAAAGGTAGAGGGTTACTTAGAAGAAGTACAGTGGCATATGAACTTTCCTAAGCTGCAACTCATCCTTGTTCGTAAATATATGCCTGATGTACTTTTTGATGCATTTCTGAGGCTAAAGAGGGATTGAAATAAACTGTTCTCAAAATCCTGTATTTGTACCTGCTCACAAATCCAAAGATAAGGATAAAAGGATCTATACCTCTCATTTGATGGCTGTACCTAGTCCATCAGTAATGTACTGTTTATTTTGTCCCGTCTGGAGGACGCTGCGAATGTTTACCTGTGCCTGAGCTGAGGATTTCTTCAAGAATACAAACAGTATTTGAACAAAACATTAAATTAATGTATGAATGTGTTATCATGTGGTAATAGTTCCATGAATCCCATATTGGGTTAATGTTATTAATAAGCAGCTTAGTTTTGTATGTTCTTTATTATGTGATGCATTGTTCATAGATTTGTATTTGCTAATAGGGATTTCAGGGAGTAGATTAGTCCAACTTCACACTGTGTATATAGATTTTTCAATCATGTTTATTGTGTTGATTTTCTAATATACTTAACCTTTGTCAGGATAAATGAAACCATCTTCAGAAGTCATGTCTCATGACTTTGAAAAAACAATTGCTGTCTTCAATAAAGCATGCAAAGGAAAATAAATGTGGAAAATTAACAATTTCATAAAAAACATGCCAGTTTTTTCAAAGAATGAACATTATTCTGTGATACCTGGTTTGTTGTTCATTAAGTAGATCAACTTTTTCAGTTTATTATTATTATTTTTTAAATAACATAACAGGAGTTGTTGGGCAGCATTTTATTTCAGTAATAGAATGCGTGGATGTTAAGTAGACTTCCCTGTGTTTGAGAAAATGCATGCAACCTGAAATGATGAAATTGTTCTCCTGAACTCAGTGGAGTTGATCAAGAAATGGACTGTTAAAGCTGAATGAAAGACTGCATGGTTCATCTGACTGCATTGTACATGAAAATGTGAAGGCCAGCTGTGTATGTGAATGAAGCCTGTGAGTTGTGAGGAGCAGTCTGTCCCAAATTAAACTGCTTACATTGTGTCCATTCAGATGACCTTGATAATAGCTTTGTGTCGATTAGTCCATTCTGGGAAATGCACATGAATGTTATGGCCATGAGCACAAATAAAGACTCAAAACTGGCTGCAGTCAGAATAATAGTGGGAGTTGTTTTGAAAGTGGCTGTAAATGTGTAAATTTACGAATTTTACAACAGTGCTGCTCTTTGTACGCTATAAGTTTGTAGGCACTTGGTTATCCAGCATTTCTAGTGAAATGTGGGGTATTGAGAGGGTTTTTGCCCCTTATTTGTTGGATAGGGGGCAGATGTTTGAACATTGCTGTGAGGATTTGATTGCAGTCAGCCACAAAAGCATTGGTGAGGTTATGTTCTGGATGCTTTTGGACATATTGTGTAGAGTGGAAGGAAGATCATCAGACTAATTGTCCTCAATGCAAAAAGTGAAATTGTGCTAATCAGGAAGTTGGCGCGTGTCTAGTCTAGACTAATGAACGTTAAACGTCAGTAAAGTTTGATCCAATCAGATTGAGCCTCGCCCCGCCCCCTTCCTTCGGTAGGCGCTAGAACACACGTAGAAAGAGCACAGCGGATCAATGCAAATCAGCTGATGGAAGTAGAGGCTGCAACTTTTCCAGCCATGGGCTTTTCTCATCCTGAACTCCCTTAGAAACATTAATTATTGTAGAGAATTCGTGTAACTGGCAAAGCATTGGTTCGGAATGTTAATGCTTTAGTTTGACGCTGGAAACTTTAATGCTGGATTGTACGAGTCATATGAGCTCGGCTGCGCATACAGAGGGTTCGTTTAAAAACGTCCTTTTCGTGCTGTGATTGGTGACCATGGAGGGCTTGACCATCAAAAGTAGAATTAAAAATCTGCTTCGCTCGCCGTCCGTCCAGCTCAAGAGGAACAAGCGTGCCGTCAAAGAAAACCTGTGTAACAAGGTAGAGTTCCTGTCCAACGTTCCTGTTCACCTAACAGATCTTTATTCATGGTCACTGGTGGGTTTGATAAGTGGGGCATTGTGTATAAGAAATGTAAGCAAGTGAAAATTAAACTTTTGAAAGCTGATGGATATGCATGTGTAGGTTTCAGGATGGCCTTCAAACAGCAGGAAACTTTCCTCAGCAGTAGATCTGTGACTGTAATTGTGAGCATCAAACCAGAGCCATTCTCACATTGTTTTCTGCGGAGAGACTCTAGTCTGTTCTCACTAAACCTAGAGAAAAATGTCTTTCTTAAGATTGTCTCAAAGAAATAAAGCTTATATTGTATTAATGGAGGATCACTTATTTCTGAATTCTTTCTCCTAACCTCTCCCTCTTAAGAGAAATGAGGGGATTAACATCTTCAGCATTTCATTGTAAGAAGTTCTGGTGATAAATGAAGAAAGCAGGAGTTCTCTTTCTATGCTGAGAGAGGGCTGAAAGAGTTCTGTTGTCTAGAGTAGAGAGAACGGTGAGATCTTACACTCTTCTGGACGTATTCAACCGAGCCTGGGGGGAGAAAAGTCAGACACGAAAGAGTTAATACTTTATAATCCAAAACATTTAATCCATAACATATAATCCATATGAGTCACAGTACTTTGATCAAGGTGAGAAAAGAAGGTTATTTTTTCAGGAGCCAAATTTCACAGCAGAGAATGACTCAAGTCTCACTCTGATTTCAAACAGGACTTAACCGTGTCAAGGAGAAGTAGATGAGATTAAGAGGAGATCTCATTTAGAATATTTCTTTCCTCTGGGAAGCTGTAGGTGTCTAGACAGAATGGTTGCTAAGAGTCTTTTCTCTAAAACCACATATAAGCTCACCAAACAGAATGTCAGAATAGTAGACCAACATTAGGAATACATTCTTTAGTGTAGTAGAGTGTAGTATTCTCTTTACTTGAACAATGTTAAAAAACTTCTTTACAGGACAGCTTGCTTTTTGTTAAAGAGAAGGACCATTTGAACAAGCAAATAACACTCAAATGTCTCTGAGTTGTCCAGGTACTATATATAACCCTTAAAGAACCATTTAAGGGTGTATTGTATAGTATAGTGTAGTATAAGATGTGTTTTTCAATGCTGTTGTTTCCTAAATGCTCAGCCAGGGCTCTGTCTCAGTGGTTTAATAAAACTTCCTTTACTATAAACTTTTCTTGATTTTGCCTGACCTGGTAGCCATATGGATCCACATGCTATGTTAGCTCTGCCAGCATATTTAGTGAGACTATGAGCTACAGATTAGGAAAAATCAAGGAAAGCACATCCACTCCTAGAAGAAACTGTTCAGAGCACAACTGCTGTCATTGAGGTGGTATCCTTAAGAGTCTGTCTACAGTACCTTTAGTAAGCGAATGTAATTAAGATGTATTCTATTTTATTTATGTATATTTTTAAATCGCATTGACTCCATATCCTCTGTTTTGTTTCCAGACTTTTAAAAAGTACAAAAAAGAAAAAAAGCTATTGCATTGTGTTTACGCTGGGCGAAGCTAAAATTTACCTGGACAGTAAAGATACCTTGATCATCTTTTTAGCCCCCAAGTACTTTTTTAATTTTGATGTTTTGTCAATTTTGTCAACTTTATAGTGACTCAGTGTTGGATTTTGCTAGGCTGGTTAACATTTCTTGAAGCGTGAAAGGTGTCTTCACAGATAAGGGCACATTTCTTACTTCATATAAGAATTTTGAATCTCACTGTTAACAAACAATTGTTAGGTAAAGAACATGTTTTGGCAGATCTAAGACTGAGTGATGAAAGTAACCAGACTTAAAATATACCCATGTTAAAGTCACCCATGTCAGTGACTTTAAAAAATAGTCCAACAGTGCATTTGATGTAATTTTACACAATTTAAAATCTAAAATTAAAGTATTAGGTAACATGTTTTTGCAAAACACTCGCAGAAGAGTCAATCAGCGTCATTGATTCCTGACTGATGATAAACTCAGCTGTCCCTCAGTGAGTTAAGGCCTCTCAGTGTTGACTTTGTATTTGTTCCTTCGAGAGTAATGAAGATTTTTAGTTTAGAGTTCTCTGTACCTCGATCAAAATACAAAAAGGAAAACAATGTCATTAAGACATCTCAAGCATGACCTTATTTCTATATTTTGTCGCTTGTTTTTGTAAGATTTAATACAATTCAGGTAAATATTAAAGGTCCTATATGTAGGACAAAAGTGGTGTTTTGCCTTAGTGTCTGCCCATGTAGCTTGTCAAATTAGCTATAATTGCTAAATCCTTTTTTTAACTTCGACTGCATGGTCACTCAGTATCTGAGTAAGTTGATCACTGCATGTATAAAGAACCACAGTCGAGGTATCAATGAATTAGGTGTGATTGATGAACGTTAATGACTGAAATTATGATTTTCAGGTGTCTTATAGTGTCTTTTATATTCCAAAGTACAGCACTATGCAAATGTGAGAGACCACCTTTCATTTATTAAATTTCTAGTCAAACGACTGTTAAGAAATAGTTATTCATTTTCACGAGATATTTCTGAGGAGATTAGATGTAAGATAAGCCACTTGCATAAGGAAAGGAAAGTCAATGAAAAGTAAGGCATCTCCAACACTGGAGTTCCAAATGATTAAAAGATATACAGAAAAGGGGCTACTAACAATCATGCAAGACATGACAATCAAACTCCACTGTTACTTCAGATCTAAATACACAAGTGTTTCTGTTCATCCTTCCACTGTGAGATGACAACTCAACATTCTGGGTTTGAAAGGATAGAAGTCTGTCAGGAAGCTGTTAATGAGAAAAAGAAATGGACAAAAAGGAAGAAAGTTTGCAAATTAAAGCCAGAAGCTGCTGGTCTTCTCAGAACACTGGACTGACCACCTTAGAGTCCAGACCTCAACATAATTGAATGTGTTTGGGATTACTTGGATTGTGAGAATGAGGAAAAAAGCAACCAACTTCTAAGACTGAACTTTGGAGGTGTAGAAAAATATCTGTACAGATTTCTTTGAAAGCAAGTCACCTGATAAGAATGGATGCTGTAGTAAAAGTAAAGTGGACACAATAAATACTAAAAAAAATGATATTTCTTGTGGCTTTCTGGAGTGTTAACAAAGTATGTATGTTTTTCTTTCCTTCATTGTTTATGTTCTAAAACATTGTCTTAAAGTCTCTGGTGTTACAGGTGACTCTAGAGAGAGTACTTGGTATCACAACTTCAGGAGGTAGCGGATTGACGTGTGACCCTTGCTCGGGTACAGTTGCCTATCCAGCTGGGTGAGTAACGTTCATGTAAGCAACTAACAAGAGGAACCCAGTGTGATGTGATCACAGTCTGAACCTAATTTCAAGTTGGCCTTCATGAGAACATTTAGGGTGATGCTATTTTTCAGTATATTTCAGAAGGTGACCTGCTATTTTGTGAGCATTTACAACAAAACAACTACAGCAAGCCTTCTCAGTAAGGGTTTAGGGTTTAGCCTTACTGAGAAGGCTTGCTGCAGTTGTTTTGTTGCAGCCCTAATGAGAACACTGAAGGAAATGGTACGGTTTAGAACTGAAAAGCTTTGCTGTCTTAGAATGTTTTGTGCTGTATTGACACAACAGTGCAGCCCTTAATCTCATCCCTGCTAAATGAACTGTGTGCAAGAATCTCAGCATAGGCTCAGTCGTTTCCTAACTAGTGCTGTGTAAGCTGTTTTCAAATCAGTCTCAGTCTTGTGAGGTGTAAGCAGGTCATTAAGAATAATTACAGAATTCCTTTAAGCGGTTGTTTTTTTCCCCTGGTGTTAGTACTTACAGTAGTGTTTTGAAAACCAGTGTATTTATGATAGTGTTAGAATTAACTTTTAGCCAGACAAAATGTACAAGCACCACACAACAGGCTCATCTGCTGTGGTCAGTGTCTGCTCTATATCCTCCAGAAGTATGCAGGTTCTGGGTCTTTGAGATATTGCAATATTTTTGCATGTTACCAAGTGACCATGGTTTTCTTTGCCATGAAAATCTTTGAGGGATTTTGAGCATGTTCTGTGTTCAGTTCAGTGTCAAGCCTGTTATGCAAGCACCTGGAGCTGCAGCCGCCCTAACTCTGTGTGCTGTGTTGTGTGGTCGTTTCAGGTGTGTGGTTGTGCTACTGAACCCCAAGAAGAACAGACAGCAACACATAATTAACACGTCCAGGTGATGAGCTTCATTATCATTGTGATGTTTTCTGTTTATGGGTTTTGTAAAAAAAAAAAGCAACTTTTAGTTTCTTCTTACTTATGTTTTTTTTTCTTTCTTCCTTCATTCTTTCTTCTTTCATTTTCTGTTAATTTCTTTTTTTTTCTTGTATCTTTTTTATTCATTCATCTCTTGTCTCTGTTTGTTCTTTTTAATTCTTGTTTCTTATTTCTCCCTTCATTCTTTTTTCGTTCTTCATTGTCCTTCACTTTCCTCCTTGTCTTCATTCTCCTTCTGTCTTCTTCTTTCTTCTTTTTCTTCTTCTATTGTCTTTGTTGCTGCTGCTGTTTTGCTTTTCCTTCTGCTGGTTCTGCTTCTTCTGTCTTTATTGTTGTTTCTTCTAAAGCTGTTAAGAATTATGAACAAAAGTTGCAGTCGGTTTTACACGTTCTCAAGATGTCACATATCTGACTGTTCTCTCTTTCTACAGGAAAACTATCACTACTTTAGCCTTTTCTTCAGATGGCAAATATCTTGTCACAGGAGAGGTAACATATCATCTTCACAGTTGAATCAGTAGCAGCGTCTAATCACTGTAATGTTGTGACCATGCATGAAATTTGGCAAATGTTAAGATTTTGTGAGATAAGCTCATGATAATGATATTATTTTTCTGGCACTTGATAAAACGCTAGATATTCTGGCCTTCATGCATGTTTAAAACACTGTACGTTGCTAATGCTCCAAATACGGTATGTAATGACACGGTTCCAAAGCGTCCACTCTCGGCTCCGCCTGGCAGGCCATAGCGCCGTTTGGGTTTTTGGGTTAGGGTTGTAGAGAACGGTTCAGCCTATGAGAGCCATGTCTGCACGCTGATCTCTGAAGCACATTAGACTAATCCTCTCCATCTATTACCAGCCGATTAAAGACTTCCTCTAGAGTCGTTGCTCTGCATGCTGGGGTTGCCATGGCAGCAAGAGACAGAGTCCCAGAGAGTTTACTCTGGAGCTGACGCATGGGGATGTGCTTGACTTGCTTTAGCGTTAGCGTTTTATCCTCACTCCTCACGTTTACTCCAGCATTTTATGATTAATTCCTTCCATTCATGCTTTGCGACCCCAGCTAAAGCATGTCTCTGTGTGAGTGATCGTATCAGGGTAGATAGCAGAGATGATGAGACTACTTCAGACAGAGGAACCTGAATACTTTAGGCTGGTGGATAATCTTATCAACAGCCTAATCTTGTTTTGTGCTGTAGAACGTGGTATTGACTTTGACCACTGTTATGGTATTGAAAGGGACGCTGTTCTCATGATGTCTGTGTGCGTGTGAAGTTCTTTCACATTAAAAAGAAAATGAAGAAGAAATAAAATTAACATAAAGCCCTGCAGACTCTACTAATAAAACTTGTATAATACCTTTCATATGTAAATGTAGCTGTTTCTCAGTAAACAAAAAAAGTGTAAATGCAGTGCTGAGAATGCTCCACCACCCAAATAGTACCTGCTCTGTGAGGGTTCATGGGGGTCCTGACCACTGAAGAACAGGGTAAAAGAGGGGCTAACAAAGCTGTATGCAGAGAAACAGATAGACTGCAGTCTGTAATTGTAGAACTACAAAGTGCACCTATATAGTAAGTGGAGCTGATAAAATGGACAATGAGCGTAGAACCAAGGAGGTGGTCATAATGTTATGCCTGATCGGTGTATGTATGTATATTTGTGTGTGTCAGTGTCAGTGTCAGTGTCAGCCTTATGCAATGTTTAGAACTTATTTCTTCACATACGTTATTGTTAAAACGTTTGGAATAAATTGATCATATGATTAGTTAGGAAGTGCTCTTAAATCTTCAGTATTTCAGTATTTAATATTATTCAGTATTTCAAGTTGTTGGGGACCAACAAGAAGTTATCTGTCTCAACGTACCATCAGATTATATGAGAGCTTTCTAGATGTTAATTTTATTATACCTCCTACACCTTTCACTGTCATTATAGAATCATCCACAATTCTGTTCATCATTCTGGACACATCTTCATTTTTACAGATTCCTATGAATTATTTTAAAAGCATGAAGTCATAGCATATCAGCATACTTCATGTTTTCGTTTGGTAAAATAATAAAAAAAATAATAATTCCTAGGATTTTTTTTTAAAGTATGAAGTTTTAAAACGTAGAATATCAGAGTATCAGCACTATATTAAGATAATTTTATAAATGTATCTGCAGCCAGTCTGTATTGTTATTGTAGTTATTGTACTGTTCTGGAAACAGTCATTCCAAACTTTCAAATGGTGGTTGAAACTTTTAAACAATCAGGTGCCCTAAAACTGACAATATGATTAGGCACTTTTAGGGCCAATTCACTAATTGAAATTCACCATTGGCACTGCATTTTAGTACGATTCCAAGCTTAATCAACGTCCGGAGTTGCTAAGTCTGTTGTAAACATGCCTGCTCGTCTCTTACTACAGGGCTACAGTAGTCTCTAGAGTGGGATTCCCTGCGTTAAAGCCAGGAAAACCTCTTCTGGTGATGTATCTTGAAGGTGGAAGTGTGTTTTGTAAACCTACAAGTTCTTTGCGGTGGGCATTTAGTGGAAGAACTCTGATCAGTGAAAATACAAAACCAATACTTATTTGTGAATTCTGTCAAATCAGTGAGGCTGTGGTATGCAGTGCTGCACTACAGATACTACATAACTTAACTAATAGCTTATTAAGTTCCCCGTTAATTCTAAGCAAGTAATCTTGTTTTTGCCAAGCCTGACTAATGTTGTTTATAATCCACACTGAGCTTCTTGCTCAAGCATTCACTCAAGTCATTTACTTAATAGCTGCTTATGAAACATTCTAAAACGGCTTGTGGATGTAGCATGTCTGCTAGACTAGTTAATAATTTCAAAAAGCTCATTCAAAAGCAGCAGGAATGAGCAATATTAGCCTCTTATTAAATGTGAGTATTTTTGAGATGCTTTTTTCTTGCAGTAAATAGTGTATGCGTCTGTTTCCCTTTCTTCTCAGAGTGGTCACTTGCCTGCAGTGCGGGTGTGGGATGTGGCTCAGGGGTCCCAGGTGGCAGAACTGCAGGAGCACAAGTATGGTGTGGCTTGTGTGGCCTTCTCCCCCAACAGCAAATACATTGTCAGTGTGGGCTACCAGCACGACATGAGCGTCAATGTGTGGGCCTGGAAGGTAAACTGAATAATGACTAGCTGCTTACTCTTAAAGGGAAATTCCACTGATTATTTATTTATTTTTATTTATTTATTTATTTATTTTCCCCAAAGTTTCTTCATGATTAAATGGGTAGGATGTGAATCATTCTGAGTGGTGTGGTGTGAAATGCTCTAGAAAAAACTTGCCAAGTCAGAATTGTTCACAGTGATGGTAGAGTTTTGATCTAAAACATACTTTTTAAAATCAGTTTATGGTGAATGGGCTATAAGGTAAATTAGTGCCCAGAGAAAGTATTTATTGTATGTATTATTATGATAATTTTTATTTTCCCACTATTGTACCATCATCAACATTACATACCAAGTCTTACAACACATGTAGGCTCACTGTTCATTTTGGATAGTAAATAAAATGTGTATGTTGTAGATGTTCCTCGTTCCTATCACCACCACTGTAAAGAAATCTGAGTTTGTAGGTTTCTCTAAATTAATCGTTTCACATCAGACCACTCTGAGTGACTTTGATTACATCCCAGTGATTGAATTGTGCAGAATTTGTTTTGTAAAAATTGGTCTCATTCCCCTCACAAGGAAATCCAGCCTTTATTTTAAACTGACATCTATCTGTCTCACCTGTAGGCTTCCCTGTTTCCTATAATGAATGGAAAATTGTTGACTTGAAATGCTTGTATAATAAGACACTGGGACAGTTGCTGAATTATGCATATTAACGTTTATTCAGAATGCAGATTTTTGTAGGACACTTTCATGAATTTGCTAATTACAGGGATTTGTAAATTTAGCTGTTAATCTGTATATTTGTTCTTTCAAGATGACAGTAGTTTTCCAGAAGGATGAAGTTGTGATAATACTTCAGGTTTTCACAGGCTTTTGCCTGATTGAGCACAGATGACTTGAAAGCAAGTTTCAAGTCAGTGGTTTTTCAGTTCAGCAGAGGGATGTGCATCAAAGTTATTATTCATAATAAATGAAGGTGTGATTCAGATGTGGCAGATGGAGGTTGGAAAAACCCTTGAGTATTCCATCAACATCTGCTAATCAATGGGGAGCCGCAGAGATGATGATGATGATGATGATGAATTTAATAAAGATGAGTGAAAGGCTCTTTTTTGCATTGCTCTCACAGAAAAACACGTTGGTGGCTGCTAACAAAGTGTCCAGTAAAGTGACGGCGGTGTCTTTTTCTGAAGACAGCTCCTACTTTGTGACAGCTGGAAACAGACATGTCAGGTTCTGGTATCTGGAACCCTGCAACTCTAACAAGGTGCACTTTTACTGAGGAACTATGTCTGCATTTGTTTGGATTACAACTGTACCAGCTGTTTTGGTCTGAAATATTATAGTGTGAATGTTTTGTGTAATTGGATGTAAACCACTCTGTGCATAATTTTTTATATATAATAAAACTTATTTTCACATAAATTATATTACCACTTTGTCTGCAGGGGAACATGCTTAAATATGGCATTTTCTGGAAATTTTAATGCACAATTTCCATTTATTAGTTGAGTTTAACATGTTGAAACAATTTAAAATATAAAATTCACCATAGCTTCTGCACAGAATGCTTTAAAATGTGCAGAAGTGTGTTCTCTGTAGAGGATGTGTTAACTTATTTTCACCTAAATATTTTGTTTACATGCCGTCTAGAGTCTGATTCTAAAGATTCAGTGCATAAAAACATCCAAAAAATGTTTTAAATTTGTATCTGAACTGCTCTCATTGTTTACTTTGTAAGGCTTGGTTGTAACACTGTGTTAAGACTAAAACCCTGTTTGGTAGCTGCACCTTAGCCTAGCTAGATCTTGCTAAGTATTGGTTATATGGTGCTTTATTACAGGCACCAAGAGAGTAATTCTTAAAAACACGGGTGAAAAGTAACACTCAAAGTTACTTTATGGTGCTTTTATGGTACAAAACAGTTTTCAGGGTGATTCTCGAGAAATATCTGCCCAGCTGCAGTGCTTTCAAAGGTGATTATGCTATAGTATGAGAAGATGACCAAAAAGAATATCTGCTTAATGTAAATGAATACAGTGTCTTGCCTTGATGTATCATGCTTTTTGCCAACTTTTTTCAACCTTTCAACTTCACAACAGCTTTCAGCCCCTGTTCCTTTGCTCGGCCGTTCTGGCCTCTTGGGAGAACTACGAAACAACTTCTTCTGTGATGTAGCTTGTGGCCAAGGCGAGAAGTCTGAGAGCACCTTCTGCATTACTTCTTCCGGGCTGCTCTGTGAGTTCAATGAGAAGAGGATGCTGGATAAATGGGTAGACTTACGGGTGAGTGCATGCCAGTGAACCATTTCTGTTTCCACTCGAGATAAATAACTCGGCATGTGTAATGTATGTAGCTTAGTTCAGCCTTTTCTACCAGGAGAGGTAACACTGATGTGAGTAGTGGCCTAATTCAGATTCCATTGCTTCTACATTCAGTATCAGCTTAACACAGTCAGGTTGGCCAGGATTGTTGGGTCTGCTTGTCTGGAGTTCTCACGCTGTGTACCTGTGACAACCGCTCTTCGTTCTACTTGGCACAGTTACTGTGCTGATTCTGCTATGCATATATAGAGACCGCAGTGAGATTAGGGTTAGACAAAATGTTTAGCAATGTGGTGTCCAGGTGACAAGCTCCTTAAGCTCCTTTCCTTCTTTAGTGCTAAATGAGGTCAAAACCGAAACCACTCTATGTGCGTGTGCGTGTGTGTGTGTGCGCGTGTGCATGTGTATGTATATGTATAGAGTCTAATAGAGTGGACAGTGAGCACTGCTGTGTCTGATCCACTCATACCAGTGCAGCACACACTAACACACCACGACTATGTCGGTGTCACTGCAGTGCTGAGAATGATCCACCACCCACATTATACCTGCTCTGTAGTGGTCCTATGGGGTTCTTGACCATTGAAGAACAGGGTTAAGGGGGCTAACAAAGTATACAGAGAAACAGATGGACTACAGTCTGTAGTTGTAAAACTACAAAGTGCTCTTACACGATAAGTGGAGCTGATAAAAAGGACAGTGAGTATACGCGCCGTTGCAGAAAGGTCACAATTTTGATTCACTGCATGTAGCTAAGAGGTTGTGCTCACCAAGTTCAAAATCGTACAGTTCCCAAATCACCAGGATATGAATTCTAAACAGGGATTTTTACAGTATCAAACTCATTTCCAGGTGCACTCTGCATGGAACTTAAGAACATGTTTCTATAAGTAATTATTTATTTTCTTGAATTTCTCACTTATTGGGCCGCAGTCACAACGGCACATCATGTCAGTGGACCATTGATAATTGTTACTTTTAGAAAATCTGCCCTGTTGGTGAGGTTATGTTTTTGAGGATATCCAGGCCATTTTCTTTTAACATTTTCTTTGCTTATTGTTATATAATTATTATTATTATTATTATTATTATTATTATTATTATTATTATTATTATTTATTTTATTTTTTTTTCCCTTCTCCTTTGAATCTGGGACCCCTGTAGACGAGTACAGCACGTGCCCTGTCTGTGACTGAGGACCTGATATTCTGTGCGTGTGCTGACGGGACAGTACGGGTCTTTAGCCCTGCTGACCTGCACTTCATCTGCACCCTGCCACGTCCACATCACCTGGGCACAGATGTGGCTGCAGTCACTCAGGCCAGGTGGGTCCATCTAGAGCCTGATCTTACAAACTTACAGTAGATTGATATTGTTGAAATTTACACTGTTTTCTCCGCTCTCTGAACATGCATAACAAAAACAATCATTACGCTTTTGTTTTTTTTGTTTTTTGTGCTGTTGTGGGGGGAGAAATCACTCTTTAAACTATTTCTCCAGCAACCTTTATTTTCTTGTAGAAAACATATTGCTTTTCCTTTGTTTTGATGTTCACAGAACAAAGTTTAGAGGTCGTTTGGCTCTCTTTGCTAAGTGGATTTATGAGAGATTGAATGAGGAAGGTGTCTTAATGCCAGCATCTTTGTTAAGCTGTTCTTTTAAAGCCTTTGTTTTATAATTCAAACCCCAGACTGTGTTTAGGATCTGTATTCAGTTGAGCTGTTAATACTAAATGTGGTTGTGTAACCATCACTTTTTCAGGTCAGTGCCTCTGAACTGGGTTTTCACTGCAGCCTTAATCTACAGTTTATCCAGTAGGCTATATGTGACTACACAGTTCTTTTACTTGTTTCAAGTATTCCAATTAAGTCCCAGTGAAGTCTCTCTATTCTTCTTTATTTTTCAGTCACCTTTTCTCCAACAAGCCAGATGAGCACTACCCAGACTCTGTGGCAGTGACGTATGACCCTGTTAACCTCTGGCTGTCTTGCGTGTATAATGATCACAGCCTGTATGTGTGGGATGTGCGAGACTTGCAGAGAGTGGGCAAGATGCACTCTGCCCTCTACCACTCTGCATGTGTGTGGGACTTGCAGGTAAATACTAAATCTAAACAGAAAGCTAAAAGCAGAGGATGACTAGGTGCACTGCCTGTCAACATTTTGGAAACACCTCTTTTTGGATATATTTATTTTTTAAGGAATGTTTAATTTTAAATGTTACTTTTCCGTTTCCTAATAGATCATTTGTAACTTATTTAGTTGTGCACTAAAGCTTGGGTATATTTGCAGCCCTCAGCTTCATGTTCATCAAAGTGTTTTCCTTAGTGTGAAAAGTAGGTTTTTCACAAACTTTAAAACCACATATTGAAATTATTTTGGCTGAAGCGTTTACACACCTGAAAGGTTTGAGTGCAGGCGGGTGTTGACATCATAAGAAGGGGATAAACTGAATGAGGTATATGCCAGTGTAGTGCTTCTAAACAGCTTAATATTTAACATATTAAGCAAACAGAGGAAAAAAAAAACATACTTGTTTAACATCAATCTGAAAAGCTAGGTTATCACATGTTTTGGCAGGTGTGCTTCAGAGAAGGTTTAGCTCTGGCTTTTTGAACTGTTACCCTTCACCTACCCACATTACTTTGCAGTCTGGTAGCTAGTAGAGCATCGATTGTGATTTTGTGTTTCTATACTGGAGCATAGGTTGTCATCTTGTATTTGTATAATATGTGAAATATGTCAACACTATTCTCCAGATATACCCTAAATCTAAAGACGGACCACCAACTGGGCTTGATTCTTCAGGATTATTCTTCAGCTGCTCTGCAGACAACACGGTTCGCATGTGGAGCACAGAGGCACACATCCCAACCAACGGCAATGTTCTCAGCAGTGTGAGTCTACTGTTTGGTTAGTGATGCCTGTTGTACTCGTTCCAGAATGTGTTCATTTAAAGCTGAGTCTGTCCAGAAGATGGTGCTGTAGCTCTGAGCCAATGATTTTTTGGAGCCATGTGCCCTTTTTTTTTAGTGGTCTTGTGGAAAGTCGGGACTGGATCAATTAATGAAAATTCTCATGTTCAATTCTCAATCACTTTATAGGATCTTCAGAAGGTCATTTATATAGACAACAATACAGCAGCCTTGCTGGATACAGAGGGAACTTCAACTAATGGTGCAGAGAAGTCCGAGGGTCAGACTGCAGAGAGTCGGACAGGCATCAAAACCATCTGTGTGAGTCCGGATGGCAAACACCTGGCCTCTGGAGACCGGACCGGCACACTGAGGTAGTGCATACATCAACTTTCTGGACATTGTAAAACAAATCTTTATAGGGAGTCATTGTTGCTCATTGAATTGAGTTTTATTTGATCATTGTTTAGTCTTCTTCTGTCACATTCTCATTAAAGCTCAAATTTTGTGTCTTGAAGAGTTCATGATCTCAGCAATATGGAGGAGATTCTTAAAGTAGAGGCCCACGACTCAGAGATCCTGTGCCTGGAGTACTCAAAACCTGAGACGGGTGAGTGCATGTCTGCTTCTGCTTTGGTACATTTAGGACAATTCTGTAGGTTGTGTAGCTTTGTAGGAAAAAGTCAGGCCAAAACAGGACTAACCTACAGGATTTTGAAGAAGTGCTTTTCAGAAGGTACATGTTTATCTCTTTGACTAAAAAGCCAAACCATTTCTTTTTGGTTATGAAAGTTAAATGGGAATTACATTGGTTTTTCAAAATGATTGCGTAATTTAATAGTTTAGTTAAAATCCTCAATTTTAGAGAAACTTAGTCAGAATTGTTTACAGTGGTGGTGATAGGAACCAGATGCCTACGGCGTGGAAAGCTCATGGAAAGTTAATACGTACCAATGGTTATGAATGTGAGACATTTTTATGATTGTTTTGAGAAGGTTTGGGCCTAAAACATTTTCCCCCCAAATCCAAAGAATGGCAGAGGGGTACATACCTAGTGTTATCAGGCAAAATGGTCCCCCCCCAAAAAATTAGCTTTTTTTTTTTCCCTGTTTACCACAATTGTACTTTCATCAGTTTTGCATATTACAGTTCATGAAATATGTGTAGGTTTAATAAAAACAAAATGGCTAAATTTGTCTTGTAGACATTATTAACTTAGGTTATCACCACAACCAGGTGAAGTGGTGAAGTCTCTCCACAGCAAACCATTTCACATCAGAACACTCTGAATAACTTTATGCATCTCAACAATTGAATTATGCAGAAATGTTGAAAAAAAACAGAATTTAATTTGAGTTGAAGCTACTTAAAGTAGTTCCCATTACACATAGACCCTACGTGTGACACAATGTCCTGACGTTGTGTAAAATAAAGCTGTGTGAGCTCAGCACGGTGCAGTGTTTCTTGACAATTTTGTATGCAGTGTCGTTAGGATGACTAGCAAACCAGGCGTTTGTGTGTTCTGTCAGGAATGAAGCTGCTGGCAACAGCGGGTCGAGATCGGCTGATTCATGTGCTGGATGTTGAGGAAGATTACAGGCTTCTGCAGACCCTGGATGAGCACTCCTCTTCCATCACATCTGTCCGTTTCACTGGTGAGAGATTTTATTTCATATTTGATTAGACATGTTCTGATATTTTTTTTAAATCGAGATAAATTTTATCACGGTTTACAATTTTATAATTAGATTGTTATGATTAAAAACACCTGCATGTATAAGATGATAGATGTACATACATGTAGTACATACTCATTTTTCATAGCAGTAATATGTTGGTGGCTGTATATTCATGCATTGTGTATGAAAGAACAGCAGCTCACAGTAATGCAACCATTACCGTAAGCTGCTTAGAACAATGGCACATTAAAATAGCTGTGTGAACATCAAATAAAATATGGAATTACAATATTACAACATAGAGACATTGTAAAACCAGAGCTGCTCTGCGTATCTAAAAAAAAAAAATCTTGTGAAACTGCAACGTCTGACTACAATGGTGCCAGCATTACATTGAGTATGTATCAGTTCACGATAACAATATCATGCCTGTTGAATATTGTGTTATCTTGTATATAATCGGTGCTTGTCAATACATGTGTAAATGTGCAGTTTATACCAGCACATTTTTATTAGGCTAACTCCTAAACCTACTGCTATATTTTTCCTTTTTGTGCTCTCTTAGACGTTGTGAGATTAGGGTGCATTATTTATACTTAAGTAGATCTTCCTGTGGTTTGGAATTCTTCTGAAACATTAGTGCTCATGATCTACTAACGAGCTGTTTGTGCCCTCTCTCTGCTCTGCATGGTGACTGAACCCTACAGCCAATGAGGGGAAGGTGAGGATGATCAGCTGCGGAGCTGATAAGAGTTTGTACTTCCGCACTGCCCACAGGGTGAGTTAGCTCTGCTTTATTTGCATTCTGAAGACCATCTGGCTGTTCTGGGGACTGTTGGGTGATCAGTTACTCCTTGCTAGTATCGACAGGCCTTCAGTTACAGATTCAGATGTCTTTCAGGTCGAAACCTTGAGTGGAAGTGATTCCCATTTGTTACATATCAACACTAATCATAAGTAAGGGCTGTTTAAGGAGTGTAAAAGAATGTCAGATGAAGGATATTCACTGCCCACTTTATTAGAAACCCTGACCTTTTAGGTCGCTCTTGCTGGTGTACAGTTAAAGACAACAGTCCATCTGCTGGAATGCACAATTTGCATTAGTGATCTTTTTAGCCTTTCATCAGTGGACAGTTGTGATCACATAATTGCTCTTGGATATGTTTGGGTGGTGGACCACTCAAGATAAACAGACACTGATGTGTGTACTCATACAAGTGCCACAAACCAAAACCATACCAGCGTCACTGCTGTGTTGAAAAAGGTCCACCGCACTAATCTGACCAACACTGGTCCTGTGGTCAGAAACTGACCAGAGGTTAAAGGGGAAGATGGTGGCTGGCAAACAATGCCTGTAAACAGGTGGACTACAGTCTGTGATTGTACATCTACATAGTGGCCCTCTTAGGTAGGTAGACCTCAAAGTGGTTACTGAGTGGAAGTGCAAGGTGGGTTTTTCTATTGAAACACAGAGCAGGAACGCAGTTTCTCTTCTGTTGTCTTCTGTAATTGTGAATGGAGATTGTTGATCACCTGTTCTCCAAATATCAAGACTTTCCGAGGGGTCAAATTTAAACGCACCCACCATGTGGTGAGAAAGAGCACTCTTTATGATATGGATGTGGATCCCACTTGCAAGTACGCGGCTGTAGGCTGTCAAGACCGCAGCGTCAGGTATGTATGCATGCTTAATTTATATACCCTTCATATAAAACCTCTTCTTTCTGTTAATAATGTATTAATAACTTCTAAACATTGTGATTTCTCTCCTCTGACAGAGTGTTCAACATAAGCAGTGGGAAACAAAAAAAATCTTTTAAAGGCTCTCAGGCTGAAGATGGCAGTCTTCTTAGGGTAGGCTGAGCTTTAGTAGTCAAATTAAACTTCATACTGGGTGTATATCTGTAGATTTTACCGGATGGATCTTTTTGTACAGGTCCAAATGGACCCATCCGGTCTGTATGTGGCCACCAGCTGCTCGGATAAGAACCTCAGCCTGTTTGACTTCCAGACTGGAGAGTGTCTGGCTGCCATGTTCGGGCATTCAGGTAAAGACTTCACTTATATTGTGCTGGTGTTGCTTAGGCTGTTATCATTCTAGGTCAGTATGTTGAAAGGAAATGAGTATGAGTAATGTGTTTTCCCCGATGTCTCTTTGTAGAAATCATCACAGGTATTAAGTTTACCAGTGACTGCAGGCATCTGATCTCAGTCTCAGGAGACAGGTAGGTTTTGTTCTTTAGTGTATTTAATTGATCTGCTGCTTCATGTGTGTCCCAGCCTCACTTGCTATGTATGTTGCAGTTGTATCTTTGTGTGGCGTCTTGCACCCGAACTGACCATTAACATGAGGGAGCGTTTGGAACAGCTCAAACACTGTCAGAGTGACCCAGCCTTTACAAACTCTGTGTACAGGTACATCAAAAACGTTCTTGGAGTGTTATATTGCTTTATCATTTATGGATTAACCTTTAGAGGAATTAAAAATTATTACTGAAATTATTACTGTCAGGTTATTACTGTAGTTCTGCACAAAACTGTTACTATTATTACACACCACATGGTGAGGAATGAGCGCACTCTGACATTGACGTGGATCCCACCTGCAATTATGCAGCTGTAGGCTGTCAAGATAATGATAAGCATGATAATTGCATTTGCATTCAACTTCAATTTTATACCATCCATACATACCATATACCATGTATTTGTAGGCCTGTAATTTAGGCTGATGTTGACAACCCACAGTTTTATCGATTTCAGCAAAAATATCACCATATAAAATTAAAATCCAAAATGTAAATATACAATTATCAGCTCATATTAAATGTACTCACAGCAGTAATGCTGCATCAAATGGAAATTTGCAAAAAATATTCTTTTACCTACAAACATGTATGCAGTATTGAGTGAAAGAGTCCACGCTTGCAGTACTGTTTCTCTATTTTCAAGAGATATGAGTGAAGAAACAATATAAAATAACTGTTTTAATTATTACTGGACATAACTCCAGTTTTACAAGGGTTAATAGCCTAAATAACAATGTTGTGGCTCATGAATTTGGTGTTCTTTCCTCAGAAGCACTTCTGCAAGCAGTCTGGAGATGCACAGTGCCCCGTCTATACTGACCTGCTCCTCTGGAAGTGAGGAAGATGAGGAAGACGATGAAGATGAAAGATTTGATGACAACCAGTCTTCAGATGATCATGAAATCAACCATCATATGTCATTAGAAGAGGATCAAGGTAACATGCTTGCTGTCTTCAGATATAACAAAGACCTAAATTGGGATTAAAAGCATTAGTGATGATTTACTATGTTTTCAGGTGCTTCTGATGAGGGGAATGATTGGGACTCCTCTGTTAAGGTCAGAAACATTTTGCATTTATACTTGTGTGAAACGTCAGTTTTTGAAATCTCCAGCTGAATGTTTTTGTTTATCTGCTCTTAACTAGAACTAAGAGCAGACTTGGTGTAAATTCATTTATGCTTGTAAAACACGATCAGGACTGAACGTGTGCTCAATTACAACATATCAGTTAACATTTCATTTGACCTTTCTTGCTGCTGTTTGTTGTAATCCAATTCCAGGAGTCATCTACAGGTTCCTGTGCGCCTGAGCCCTCTTTGCCCGAGGCACCACGGCCGCGGAGGCGGTGGTCCTGCAGGATGGGCTCTCTGGAGCTGATGGTGAAGTCTATGCTAGAGCTACGGCAGCTTGATTCCTTCTCCAGACCCGGCTCCCCGAAAAGCAGCTCCACCAGTCAGCTCTGCAGCCAGCCGGCCGGCGGCAGCACCACCAGCCTACAGGAGGACACAGTGAGTGCACTACACTAATGTTTGCGCTACATTGCACTGCTAGATTTAAGAGTACGTCCAGTGTACCAAGCTGGGCTGTAAACAAATTTGGATTGTTTTTGAAGACATTTGTCTTCCTTTTCTTTAAGGTGTAGTTACTGAGCATTAACCTGCTAATAGTTTATGTAAGAAAGTCAGTAAAAAAAAAAAACATAATAACATAAGGGGTGTATGCCAGGTATCACTGCCAGGTTTGCTATTAGTAGAAAATGCTGGATCAGATTTTAGAGGGACAACAAAGAATGAATCTGATTATGGATATAAGTGAATAACCAATTAACTGTTGACTAACAAATAAACAATTGTTTGACCAGTGCTAAAAAAAGTTCATTTCATTGTATTTCATTTCCAATAAACAACAGTTAGTATTTGAAAAAGGCAGGTTTATTATTCAAGTTGAGGAACGCTTTTGAGTTGTACACATTCAAAATGGCCTACTGAAACATTAAGCACAGCTTTTGAGAGCTATTGATGTACAGTGAGCCAGAGCTAGCCCTGGTCATGGCATTTAGGTTCATTTTAACTCTGGCTAGAAATTAATAGTAGATATAACTTTAGGCCTTCAGAATATAGAACTTTCAGTATGGTGTATTTAATATGGATCTTGCGTCACTACTGACCTGTAATGCTACGTTTCATGGTCCCTAAAAGGAGCACTTTTGGTACCTCAGTGCATTAATACTGAATTAAGTTGATATGTGCACTCATAAGTGTGCATATATGGGCAAAGGCTATGGACAAAGCTTGGCCAGACAGCTTTTAGATCTGGAGGTTTCTGTTTAATAATTGATATTTTGATGGTGTTGTGTGTTTTAATTTTTAAGCTTGTTAATTACAATTGCCAGCCAGTGATGGACAATTATTGATTAAGAGAATTTTCTGAAATTTGCATCCATAACTAAGGAATAACCTATCCTGAAATATCACACTGTGCTTCAATTAAAATAACTAAGTTAGTAGTTTGTTTTTATAGAAAAATAGTAAATCCGTATGGGCCAGTAGTTTCCAATTGTGACATCTATAGTTACTGCTTTTGAAGCATGAAACCTGTTCACTTTATTTCTTTAATGACCTGTTTAATACAGCATAGATGCACACACAGTCTATCAAAATGTACAGAGCAAGTACATTTACAGAGTACCTTTTTTTTTTTTTAATATATACTGAATCATTTATTAGTGAGAACTTCGGGTTTATTTGCATTCAGAACAGCGCTGTGTGTGTGTGTGTGTGTGTGTAGACAACATGGTAAACAGTAAATTAAAAGGCAGTAGTGCTTGCCAACAGGGACTCGACATGGGTGTGCTGAGGGGCCTACAGCATTCCCAGATTTCAGAAATGTTTTTACAGACTATTTAACTGCAACTGCTTAAATGAATAAAATAATAAAAGTACAGAACTTAAAAATAACTTGAGCATAGCAAAGACCTGTGTGTGGTTATATTGTAGTAAAGACTGCTACAGCCGTGTCCGAGTCAAGACAGAGACTGGGTTGCTTAGGGTCCGAGTCAAGACCAGGAGTTGCTGAGATCGAGATACAACTGAGACCAGATTTAAGTTTTAAAGCAATAAACAAAAATTGTTTGTAGTTAATTGTATGTTCAATATTATGAATTATATATATACACACTCCTACATGATATTTATAATTTACCTTGTAAAATGTAACATTAAATAATATATAGCCTAAAACATTATTATTATTATTATTATTATTATTATTATTATTACTATTATTATAGTCTTAGTCAAATATTTTCTTATTCTATGTTTCTTTTTTCTAAAACTTATTCAGAATGATCACCTAAAGTCAAATGAATATAAACTACATCCATTTTTATTATTAAATGAAAACATGGTTGTAATGATATTCAGTAACTCTGACTGTTGTAGGGAGAAGTTAATATCACTACATAAAATAATGAAAATAGCTAAAAATACAGCAGAAATGGCCAAAGAGTATTTAAAATTGATGTTTATCAACAACTTGTAATATTTTTGATAATAAGTTCCACCTTAAATGGTTTGTGAATGCCTCAGTTGGCCAAGGCATCAGAATGTAACTGCTGCACAATTTAAGGTGGGGGGAAAAAAAAAGGTGGGGAATTTGAACAAGAACAAGACGGTTTAAGTTGAAGGTGCAGTTTACAGGAAAGCCACTCATTTTCCTCACCAGCTGTCAGCTGCTTTGACAACATTACTAAAACACAAGTTGGTTTCAGTGTCCAGAGTCAAAACATGTAGGATGTGCATCAGTGGTTGCTGTGTCAGTTATGTATGTAGAGCTGTCGTTTCTCGCCACATTATAGCACATTGACTCATTTTAATCCATGTAAATTATCCAGACAATTCAAATAAATTAAAAAAAAAGTATTTTTTTGGCGCACTGGCGCACATATTTTTCTTAAAATATCAGCACCACTTTTCAAACACCTTTCCACGTCCCTGTTTGTTACAGAAGACATTAGAAGACATTACTAATAATGACATAAGAGATGTAGAAGTATAGCATAATAATGACTGTAAATGTGCAAAACTCACAATAGTGCACTTTGAAAGCACCAGTATGCAGCAGTCACTGTAGTGCACTTATGAGTTCTCTGGTGACTGAGGCAAAGAAACTTCCTGCAGCAACTCCTAAAGACTGTTTCTGTGCTAGTGTCTTGTCATTCACTTTCACATTAATCCAGCAGCAGCAGCGGGGTAAGAAACGACGTGCTCGTCCTCATTCTGCCTGGCTGGCTCCTGCCTCATCTCCTGAATCCGAGGGTGTGGTGCTGTACCCGGAGCAGTGCCCCAGCATGGACAGCCTGCCTGGAGCCTACCAGGTGCAGGGTGAGGAGGCCCAGTGCCCGGACAGCCACAGCCCAGACAGCGGCAGCTCCATGGGCTATGGCAGTGGAGGATCCAGCCCAGAGCAGGACCATGCAGGTCAGATCCACACTGTAAATAAAACACATGTAGTAGTGACAGGAAAATATGTGAATTTAAACCTGTGGCTTGAACACACTGAAGTCGTTACATGACTTTTCATAGTGTTAACTATGTAGGAGAAGGAAAAAAAATCCTTTCTGGTCCATTTCTGTTGGCCCATTCATCATTAAGTGGACTGTAGTGTAAAGGGCGGTTTGCATTTTCAAATGACGCAAACAGAATAAAAACAGAAAAGAGTGGCTATATGTTGACAATGGTATGCTAAAATACAGAACTACAAACTCTCTGTGGATGTTTACTTTCACAAAAAACAGAATAAATATATAAATCCATTTATCTGCAATAAGCATTTGTTTAACAAAGAACAGTAACTTTAGAATAAATGCATTATGCAGATTTTATGTCTATCAGTATGTGGGCTTAACAATTTCCAGACCTCTTCTCAACACAGTTAGTATTTAGTTACCATTCAACGCCTGGTTTATCTAAACAATTCTTCATTAAATCAAATTAAGCGCGCTGCTGATGGAATCTAAATGATTTCTTAGTGCACAGAGAAGTCGGGAACCAAACCCATGTTCTTCTAGAAGTTTTTTTTTTTTTCTCACCATGACATTTTAATAGCTTTTTAAAAGAACAAAATAATGTTTTTACTGTATTTGTTTTTGTGTGTATTATAATGTTATGTAGTGGTTTTACTGGTAGAAGCATGCTTACTGCTGAAATAAGTGGTTTAAAACAAATGTTTTGGCAGCCTCATGGCTTTTTTGCACAGTACTTAAAATCTGATGGAAAGAATTTGTTTGATCCACATTACTGATCCTTTAAGATTCCATCATATTTCACCTCCTCAAAGTGTGTTTGGTGCACCAGTCCAGCTTTTGGTTTCTCTCTGTATCTCTCTATCAAATGTCTTTCTCTCTGCATTGATCTCAGATGACCCAGATACTGTCAGTACTGATGAAGAGCATTATACTCAGGAGGAGGAGACCAGACGAAAGTTCCACAAGCGAGAGAGCCCTGTACGAGAGAGCTTCCTCAGGGAGCACTTTGAGACGCTCGCTGACGCTGTGAACATGGGTAGCGACCCTTTCAGTCTACATGTTGGGTTTTATGATGCAGCAGTAAATTCTTTGTATTTTTAATATTGATCTGTTTTGCTGAATTGTGCTCTCAAACAGGGAACAACCCCAGACCCCAAGGCAGCATTTCAGCACGCTTTCTCGCCCAAGGCTCCACAAGCAGGTATAATATAGTAACTTAATGTTATGATGATAATAAAAAGGTCTTTTATTTACTTATGCAAACTTTAAACACCTGATTACTTTGCCTATGTGTGTGATTCTAGGCTACTCTAAAATATTCTCAACCATTATGAAAATTGTGTGACTGATACAGATTTTTAAAGGGTTAAAAGGTCTGATAGGGCTGATATAGATTTTATGATATATTTAAAATTTATATTTTCAAGTTCCAGTTAAGTGCAGTAACTCAACTTAACAAATAATGTACATGCAGTATGGGGTGTGGAGCTACCCATTTTTATTTTGTTTATCAGTTCTCTTCCTAGGCTTTTTATTTTCATGCTAAATGTTGGGCTTGTATACATTTAACATTTTGGTTATTTTGACCATGATGATGTTTTTTTTTTGTTGCCAGTACAGGCATTTAGCAGTCACACAAAACAGGGTATAATAATAAGGGTGATACAATATAAAAAGTAGCATATATACAAAAAACTATCTACAGGCATATATACAAAAATATGCAATAAGATGGCAGTTCAGCATGTATTGGGGTCAGTATTAAATAAAAATGGCTCATGTTGTGTTCCCTAGTGGCACAAGGTCTGTTTAAGGGTTTGTTTAATTGTTTCGTTCTACTTTATTGAATTGTATAGGAGAATGCTTGAGAGTTTGAATCTCAGTGATGCTGCTATCGGAGATGCCAAGAAAACTTTAGGGCAACCAATCTATTTATCAGTTGAGTTCTAATTCTGTACATGTTGTGTGGTGTGTGTGTGTGTGTGTGTGTGTGTGTGTGTGTGTGTGGTTTGTTTGTTTTTTTTTTGTTTTTTTTGGTAGAAAGTCCTCCCCATTCCTCTCCAAGACTAGCAGGAAAATTGACAGAGGTCCCAGTGCTGAAGTTAAGCCCCTGGTGTCCACAGTACGGCCCCTGCATGAGGGGACGGGTCAGGGAACAGGTTTGGAAGAGAAAGCGGCGACGAACCCTCTAGAGCCGTGTCTACAGCTGTGCTCAAAGCCACAGAGGAGGAAGGCTGCTGAGGCTCATCCTGGCAGGGTGGCCAGTCCGATGGGCAAGAAATCAGCAGTGCTTCTGAAATCTGTGTCGGCACAAAATCTAACAGCAGAGAGTAAGTTTCACTAATGTTGATGCTTATGTCTAAAATCACTTAATTAAGGCCATGTTCATGTAGCTACACACTTGACACGTACATATTAGGGCCCTGACACACAAAGCTGACTGTCGGCCGTCAGAATCCTTTAGGCCATGGTGAGTGTTGGTGGCCGACTGTTGGCTGTAGTTTGTACAGTGTGCCCCATGCTATTGGCTGTAGTTCGCTCTCAGTTTTCGTCTGCTGAGCATGTTGAATTGGTGTCTGCCATTAGAAAGCTGAAAAGCAGCGCACAAGGACAGACACACATGAGAGCAAAGCAAGTAAACGGCACTCACAAGAGGGCATGCACAGAGAATAACTCAATTTTTCGACACCAATTGCAGTGTTTTATCACTAAGGATAGGCAGTTTATCTATTTTTGCTATTCAAACATCCAAATATTTATAAAGCAGCATTTGCGTGTCGTATTCTCGACAAGAAATTGTTTAATGAATAAACACAGACGCAGAAGAGATCCAAATAAAGTGTAACTAGCATAAAATCAATGAGTTAGTCATTTCATGGGCTTTTTTACTTTGTCATATAATTATGAACATGCCAAGTGCACATTTAATGTCACTGTTTATTGTACAAACATTACTTTTAAGTAGCCACCTTGTCCCAAGCCCTGTTTAGCTTAAACACAGAAATTTGATGTCTGTAAGGCAGACAATATATTCTTACTTTTGTAAAACTCAAACTGCAACATACATGCCCAGTCCTACTATAGACATTTGTCCCTTTCACACAGTTTTTAGCATGTTCATGCTCGTTGGCTGTCAGCTGTGGTCTTTCATTGTGTACAAGTGCACATTTTCACAGGAGATGAGAGGAAACTAAGTTGTCAGATAGCAGTCATCAGTAGATCTTAGTTGTTGCTAGTTCTTTCTTGTCTTGTTGGTGTGTTCCAGCACTCAGGCCTACTGGCACTGAAATATTGATTCAGAGAAAGGGATGCATGCGGACCTTTCAGGGCAAAGGGGTGTTCAAACTAATGACCATTATGGCTCACTTCCACACTTAAGACTGAGCAGTAATGCTTGTAATTGAATATAGCCTAAATTAGTCATTTTGGACATGGCCTTGCAAAACTTGAGCAACCACCTGGGATTCTCTAGCAACAGCTTTGCAACACATTAGCAGCCACCTGGAATTTCATAGTAATGGCCTAGCGACATCTTAACAACCACCTGAGCTAACATAGCAACATCTTAACAACCACCTGGGATTTCATAGCCACACCTTGGTCAAGTAAATTTAGTTTGCTCATGGACATTCCTCTTCTAGTTTAGTGTGCTTTTAGCTCATGTACATTTGAAGATAGCTGTTAACCTTTTCCGTCTTTCTTTTGAAGATCGCAAGTCCATGACACCGTCCCGTTTGAAGCGTGAGTCTCGGCCGCCCCTGCCTCAGCTCACCATGGAGAGAAATGATTCCAGAGTGCATCTGCATCACCCATCCTCCACAGGGTCCTCCTCTCCTCAGCCCTGGGAGAGTCCTAACACCAGCCGTCATCTCAAAGCTCGCTCGTATATGAACCCCACCACCAGTTTCATAGCCAAGGTCAGCCGAACTACATCCATCGGAGATGGCCTCCACATAGGCATGCCCAGTGGCGAGACTTTGCCATGGTCAGGGCCTTCAACTTCACCTACCAGTCCATCTTTTTCACCTCTTCTGCCATCTCCTTCTGCTTCCCTTCCTGGCCTATGCAACCAAACCCATGGTGGCTCTCAGACTCCACCTCCTAAAAGCAGCAAGGCACGTATTTTTGGACGGAGCAGTAACCCTGTCTCAGACCATTCCAGCAGATCCACTCCTACAGGCGTTTCAGAAACTGCTGCTATTCAAAAAGACTCTTTTGATGGAACTGAACACCACCATATGGGAGCTGGCTTTGCAAAAGATCAGGTGGATCACTTTGCCTCTCATTCTGTGCCTTTGAAAGCTGGTCTGGACCCTGAGGCTGGCTCCCACAACCCACAACATGAGCGCCCCCTGCTGGCTGTCCAAGCTTTCACCATGTCATCCGAGAGCCAGACTGATCAAGGTTTGCTCCGCCGACGTTCGTCCTCTATCGTCCTGGCGTCTGTGCCCTTTCATCTTCCTCTTCATCACTGTTCTGCTGCTCTCTGGCCTCTCTGCTTCACTTCTCCACACTCTGTCCATTCATGTATGAACCATTGCTGTCTGACGGGTGAGTTCTCAGCTTATAATATGTACCTAAAATCCACAGAGGATGCAGTGATACCCCATACCAATGTTCCAACTGGTTTAACCCAGATCTAGATATCTATCTTTAAATAGCTTTTTCTAGGTCGGTGGTACATGCTGTCAGTCAGTGTGACCAATTTGCCAAGGATTTTCTGTTTTTCTTTTCTCCAGCAGAGCCTGCAGTAAACTTGGATACCTGCAGGCAGGCTGCTGCTGATCTGTGCAACAACATGAAGAAGGCCACCCAGCTCTATAGAATGGTAAGATATTATGCTCTACACCGAATTCAATACCATTGTGTTTCTAAATATGACACAAATGTCACTGCCCTCAATCTCTGTTTGTAATGGAGTAGGACTGACTGTTGCACAAACTGTACTTTCGGTCTTGGCCTGTTTTAGTTTTTGTTAAGGCTGTTTTATTCCATTATGTTTATGCCACTGTTGTCCGTTTGAGTCACTTATAGACACCTTAGTTAGTTTAGTTTGGGATATTTTCTGAAGCTAATAATCAGTCTAATTGTCTGTTTTCTAAAGTGGGAAAAAAGACCAGCCGGAAGGCAATTGTAATAGAGAGGGGTGACAAATTAAAGGGGGGAAAAGTATCTTAGTAGGATGTAGGCCCACTGTGAGCTGACAGAAAAGCTTCAGTATTCCTTGGCATAGATACTAAGTCTCTGAAACTGCACTGAAAAGATGGAGCTCCATTCTTTCAAAAGATATTTGGTTGTGTATTGATGGTGGTGCTGGAGAATGCCTTGTCCCAAAATCTCACATGTTCAACAGGTTTGAGATCTGGTGACTGTTAGGACCATAGTATATAATGTACCTCATTTCCATACCCATCAAAACCAATCAGTGACCCCTCATGCCCTGTAGAGAGGGGTAGTGTCATCTTGGAAAGACCACTCCCATCAGTGTAGAATGGTTCATCATAGGATATGTGTGATCAGTCAGAATAACTTTGTATTTTTTTGCAGTGACCCTTCCCTCTAAAGGGACAAATGGGCTCATATCATGGCAGTATAATGCCCTCCCAGCATAACAAAGCATTCAGGCCTTTACCATTCTCTTGGCATACACCACACATGCACTTGCCCAGTTGTGGAGAACATGGTAATGGGTGACTCAGTCAAATAGGCCTGCTCAGCTTTTTTGTACATGCCATAGTTCAAGATGCTTTAAAAAGGACATTTAAAAAAACGTCTAAAAAAGCTAAATGTATGTGTCCCTTTATGCACGTACTTAAATGAAAAACTGAGCTGAGTTGTAGCACTTTAATATAATTGACATAAGCATAAACCTAGTATTCCTAAATTGGATTGTTTTTACTCATTTAAAGCACTCGAACTATGTAGCGTGCAGCTCTATTTTCTGTAGTACACAAATATGAAACAACTCAAGATCGTCAGATACGCAATATTAAAGGATTCTAATCAGGACTGGCAAAAAAACTTTGATTGGAACCTAGCTTTAATGTTTGTCTGTGCGTGTGGTCGCAGGTGAGCTCCTGCAGTGGAGAGGCATCTACAGAGCGTCAGGAGATGGAGCGTGTGCTGACTGAAGCTCTGCTACTGGTGCGCTCTGAGCTTGAGGCCATTCCCAGGCCAGCACCTGGGGTGGCAACAGCTGAAGGGGGGGAGCGGACCCTGGCCCTGCTAGAGCAGTACTCTCAGCTTCTGCTACAGTCTGTGGAGAAGAGACTCGACCACAAAATCTAACCTCGCGCCTACCGGACAGGACTACTGATTGCATAGGCATAAAGATATTTAGGCTTGGACTTGGAGACTCGCTCTTCTACCAGAAAGAGGATCTGAGAGGCAGTGAAAAAGTCAGACAGAGCTGCATAGATTGTGGATCTGAACATTATATACCCTCATTTTTGTGGTTTTAATATTTGTTTTTTCTTTGCTCTCTTAAGGACTTTCAGACAGCCTAGAGGAGAAAGAACAAACACATGTTTTTCTTTGATCACTTTTAATCCTCCATTTTCCTGAACCACTGAATGGGTTGGTGTGCTACACAGAAATTTAAGCCTAGTCCTGGACTGCAAAGCATTCTGATTGGAGATTCTACATGTAATCCAGGACTAGACTTATTCCATGTCTGGGAAACCAACCCTTAGTGTTTTACAATATTAGAGACTTCTCCCAAAATACAGATTGTTGCATGTTTTTTTTTGTCCATTATGTACATGTATATGTCTTCAGATACAAGCTGGATTTGTATTTTTATTTAATAAAGTTTTAAAGTGTCTTCCCGTAGGATGTAATTAAGTTAGTGAATCTGTGAGTGTGTCAGGCCTTGAATGTTTTTTTGAGTTTGTCTGTTTTGGTTACTTGTGATTTCTGTACCATGGTTTTCAACTGCTGGTCGTATTATGTTCTTATTAATAAAACAAAATGAAGACATAAGAAATTCAGTTTTAATGAAATGAAAAGTCTCATTTGAACTTCAGCTTGTAGTCATTTCACATGTTAAGTAAGATTAGTACTTCACAAACGTTTTCCATGGATAATACGTGCTTTGTATATTATAAAATTACATAACTTTTTATAGATTATAGCTCACCTGAGAGAAAAAAATCTCACAATATTTTACACTATATGTGGAAATACATGAAGAAAAACACATTTTGTAAGGTGAATGTGTATAAAAATTCAACCAGAGCAATGTTCAGTTGAAACAGGGAGAGCATTAGGGTTATAAGCTCTGGAATGTTGGAGTATCTGTAGCAAAGGGTTTTGTCGATTTTAAAAAAAAAAACTCTATAGTGAAAATTTGCTGTATTGGAACATAAATTCAGAGGTTAACTGTTTAACTGTACAGTATTAATTGACAACAGGGGAAACAGTGGAGTTCTGACTCTTGTCTTGCAGCCCAGTGCAGAAGGCAAATGCAGAGGGGCTGGTAAAGCAAGCGGTATCTGATGCTCAGGGCAGTGTGTCCACGTTGACTGAAGTTAGACTGACGTCGTGCAGGATGTTGATACGGTCGATTTGGTTAACCTCTCTGATGCGGTGCTTGAATTCAAAGAGGGGCGTGTTATTGACCACCACCTTGAATTCATTGATTGTGCAGAGGATCTTCATCTATAGAGGAAGAGGAAAGCCTTGTAAGCCTGTAGTTATGTGGAGAGCTCATCCCTACATTCAACTTAACATTGAACTGGAGTTATACTGCATTAGTCAGTTACTTAAGAGCTCAAGGCTCGATAGTTTTTTTATTTTTTTTTGGGCTAATGCCGTGATTTGTACAAATACAGGGTCAAATGGTCTTTCCAAGACACCATATCTGAAACATTTTGAAATATGAAGAAAAGCCAACTTTTGTCTCTTACCTCAAAATGTTGTCCTGCAACAAATGGAAATGGTCCTAGAAGGTTCCTTTCTTCAATCCCCCATTTTTCTCCCAGCTTGTGGTTGCGGACAAGAACCTGTTTACCCCTTTCATTGAAGCGAGGGTTGATGTGCAAGGCGATGTCATTACCACGCAGGAAATTCACTGTGAACCTGGTACGTGTCCAAAAATAAAGACCAAATGAATGCTCTGGTGTTGAGGAGAGCCAACTGCTACTGCAAAATTGATTCCAAGTTAATTGTGCCTTAAGACTCAGGCCTTATGTTTACTCACATTTTAGCATCAGGCTTAACCTGCCCCCTTATTGTAAGCATCAGCTTGTCATATATGCCTCTGGGGAAATTCATGTTGAAGGGCATAGACTGAAATCAAGACAAATGGAAACAGTTTGGGGTTAGATTCTCTTTAGTGGTATGCCAGAAGATCAGGGTGAGTGATATGGCGGAAATATAATATTATATTTTTCACAGTAGGCAATATGCATCATAATGTGTAGTTTTTCTGAGATTTGGAACAGATCATGCATCATAAAAACATGCATGTTTTACAGGACCAGTTATACTCTGAACTCCTGACAATAGAACAACTATGCCACATGGGACCTCTGTATGGATTGCTTTTTAAGGAAATGTGCAGTTGGTCTGCAAGTCTTTAAAATAAAAGTTGCCATATTAGTTTATGGTCATATTAAATACTATTAAATACTGATGATGACAAAATTTTTGTTTTATCATAATTTTCCCTCAATGTACTCACAATGATACTTGCCCATCTCTAAAACATCTGGTTTTTGATTGTCAGAGGGTGGGGAAAAATATTAACCAATGGAATGTATGTAAAGGAAAATGTTACACTTTCTAATTCACACTGATGTCAAGTATTAACAGTATCTACAACATGCTCAGAAAAGCAAATTGTATGTATTTTATCATGATAATATCATATCGTCATACCACCCAGCCCTACTACCAAAACGTTTTGCAATGCTCTACATCAGAGGTCACCCACCATGCTCCTGGAGATCTACCTCCCTGCAGACTTTAGTTCCTGATCAACCCCTGATCCATTTATTCGTTGCCATCAGAATAATTGATTGAATAGCTGAAGGAGCTGCGTTAGATATGGTTTGGAGGTAATCCCTGCAGGAAGGTAGATCTCCAGGAAGATGGTTGGTGACTGCAGCTCTATGTTCTAGTGGAAATAGATGATATATCCAACCTAAGGTTTGCTATCTTACCACAGGGCCTGTAGATGGAACTGGTGGCCATGGCTGCTGCTGGCCTCCAGTTGGGCCTTGACCGGGCCATCCAGGCTGCCCAGGCCACCCTGGATGGGTGGGAAGGTACCCTGTTGGGGCAGGGAGCTGTGCAGGCCAGCTGGGCTGGATGGGATGGCTTGGTTGGCTTGGCTGGCTTGGCTGGGTTGCTGGGGCAGGTAGGCTGGGTTGACTAGGTTGGCTTGGTTGGCTAGGTTGAGTTGTTGGAGGAGCAGGCCAGCCCTGCTGGCTTGGTGGTCCTGGTTGGTTTGGCGGCCAGTTCGGTGCACATGGTTGCATTCCAGGCCAGGTAGGCTGGTTGGGCTGAGAGGGCCAGCACGGTTGGCAGGGTTGGCCTGGCCACGCTGGTGCTCCTGGTTGCTGAGTGCCCTGGCAAGGCCATATACTGTTACCCTGCTGACCAGACGATGGACAACTCATTCTGTCTGAGAACTGTGGGTGAGGGAACACAGTGGGGTTAGTTTATGGATTTAACATGGAGTAGCCAAAGATTTTTGAATATGCTTTGAACTACATACTGACATCTCTATGCACAACATAATTTTAACCAAAACAGGCTATACTGTTTTAGCAGCATGCTGAATGGGAAGAAAATATGTGTATTTATTATCCATATATAGTATACATCCAATGATGTGTATATCACTCCAATACCCTTTGATTAATGTGAAAGAACACATTTAAATGAATATTACACTTACACAATAATATTATGATTATCTTCATGACTCAAAGAAGGTAAATCCATTTACTGATGTAGCCACAAGAGGGCTCTATGTTTCACACAACTGATTTAAGTCAGAAGCTATTGGTCTTGACAGTCTGGTTTATGATGAGCTTTGTATCTCATAAAGCGATCCAGCGTTCTACAATCAGAAATTTAAAATTGTTCATGGGGACATTTTCATATGGACTATTATAAAATGCTCCTCTGGGAGTATCAAAAGCCCTCTATTGACCACAAATGCATAGTTGAAATAATATTCCTCATTACTGTGAACCCCATCAGTAGTAATTACATTCAGTCCCAATCACTTATTCACCAGTTTTCTTCATTTCTATTCAAATTAAATTCTCTGATGCTGAAGTAGTGTTAATATGACTAGTTCTAGTGCAGACCTGCCTACAACAAATAAAACTGTATTTGAAAATCTAGTAAACTCACTTATGGTTCTCCTTTAAGACATCATTTAAAATCTTGAAATTTTGTTTCAGTGAGGCTTAGTAGGACCTGCTACACTGTTTCACATGTGAACACATATAATCTAGATTATGTACATTTTAAAAAGGTACAGTGTGAAAAGCTACAAGCTACTGCGCTGCTTAATTCTTAGTTTTTGTCTCTAACTTTATTATTTCTACTCAGAAGAAAAGTTTTTATTAAAAATAGACATTCTGCGGACGCAAGTGTTAAAAAAAATATTTGTAAAATATGACAGAATTATCAAACATGTTTACAGAAAAATTATGATGAAATAAGCAATACCATACCTGTATAAGTGCAAAGCAGACTGGGATACACAACTGCAGATGACCTCAGAGAGGACCTGAAAGAAACAACTCCGTATATATGCCCTTTTTGTTTCTGACCACTCCCACTTTGCTAGTTTTCAAAACTTCTGGGAAAACCACACCCAAGTAAAGAAATGTCACATTCCACCTCATTACAGCTAAACAACACTCCATAGATAGCACAACATTCATTAAATAGGGGGTCTGTTTGTGCTTGTGTGAGTCCAGTTTGTGTTTATAAAATAATTTAGTTGTCTATATTTAAAAAACAGTTAAGAACAGATAAATGTTACAGTTAAATATTCTGCTCTGTATGGTTTTATCTACACTACTGTTCAAAAGGTTAGAATCGTTTGTTATGGTCATTAATTCTGTTGTTTTATACACAGTTATTATAGTTAGAGCTACTGTAAATATGATACTATCATTATAGTCAAATGAACTTCAAGATTTTATCATCTGTTTTCAAGGATATTCTGAATGTTCAATTTATTAGAGCTTTATTCACAACATTGCACTGCTTTATAAGTTCTTTAGAATCTAATACAGCTCTGTTCATCGATCTGGACACATCATTCTGACACAAGGGTCATACAAATGCAGTGCAGAGAATGGCTGTCTAAACATTTTTGGCCCACAGGCTGTGTGTCAGTTCGAGGAATATAACAGACTGTGGATGTGGGGCTCCTCACTGCACCAGCCTAAAGGGGGAATTCTACCAGCTTTTCTAAAATTCTGCACAATTAAATTGTTAAGATGTAAACAAAGTCGTTTACAGTAGTTTGTTGTAAAATGCTCCATTCTAGGAAAGCTTTCAGAGGCAGTGACAAGAACCAGACATCTGAAATGGTCATTGCATCTAAAAGCTCCTTTAGAGAAAGGTATTACACTGTTAGAAATAAAGATTCTGTGCAAGTACATTTTTTAGTAATCAAGCCCAAATAAGGTAAATGTGCCCTCAAAGATACAAAACAGTGGTTTTAAGGTTTGTGTACCTTAAATCATTTTTTTCACAGTGGAAAAGTACATATTTCCATCTTTTCACAACCTAATGTTTAAAACAGAACAATAAAATAAAAAACCTGAAGACGAGATGGGGTGTGTGGAGTCAATACACCTTAGAAAATATAATTCCTATGCCTTATGGTACAATTATGTTCCCTGACTGAAGGTACTGAGATGTACCGCAGTGACAGTTTTGGGCCTTTATTTCTGAGAATGTACATGAAATGTTTACAAATATACTAATGGTGCCAACGTCATCATTAGCATGCAAAATGAAGATATTGTTTTAAGATAGTTTTCCAAAAAGCCTTTTAGCCTTAAACATATTTTTTTAAACTAATTCTTGGTGGAGATGTTGAAATAGTTCCATCATCAACATTGCATATAAAAGCTCAAAAGACACTTGAAGGTTCACTGGTGGTTTTAGATGGTAAATAAAATTGTTATATTTGCATTGTAAACATTGTGACCTCTGATTTCTCCTATCACCACTGTAAACAAATCAGAGTCTGTTTTTTTACTGTTTCTCCACAATGAACCATTTCACATCAAACCTCTCTGACTGACTTTGTTTCCATCTCAGCAGTAATGTAGAAATGAAAAATCTGTGGGGTCCCTCTTTAAGGTTATACTGGTTTATAGCACCATCAACAGAATGGTCTATCTGCATTGATTTTCAGTGACGGTCGCGCGAGAACCCAGAGGCTGAGTTATTTGCTGTCCGTGTCCGTCTGTCTGCGGATTAGAGCGGGTGGGGCAGGAATGCAGCTGTGTGGACAAACAGACTTCCTTTTCTTCTGAAAGAACTATCAGTGCATTCATAGATGCACATCCCAAGTTGCCATAGAAACCAGTGTAATTTTATATGGAATAACACTTGAATAATGCAGGAAAATGTTGCCCTATGCAGACCGAAGAAAAGTAGCTTGTATGATAAGCAACATGCACACTATATGGCCAATTCAGGTGTCTTAGCCACACCCATTGCTAACAGGTGTATAAATCTAGCACATAGTCATGCAAACTCAATAGACAAACACTTGTAATAGAATTGGTCATCTTGAAGAGTTTGGTGACTTCCATGAGCAACAACAGGTCAGCTTGATATAGTTTGAAGATTTTGGTGTGTTGGAACTCCAGTGGCCTGCACAGAGCCCTGACCTCAACCTCAGTGAACACCTTTGGGATGAATTGGAACATTGATTGTGAGCCAGGCCTTCCTATCCAACATCAGTGCCTCACCTCACACTCTTTAGATGGAATGGACTCAAATTCCCACAGACACTCCAAAATCTTGCGGAAAGCCTTCCTAGAAGAGTGGAGGCTGAGGGCCAACTACACATTAATGCCCATAGCTTTGGAATGGGATGTCCAATAAGCTTATATGAGTGTGATCGTCAGGTGTCCTCACACTTCTTCATATAATGGAAATGATAATGGGTAAGCTGTTTTAGAAAAACACTTTAGGCACAATGGAGTTTCTCAGTTTCAAAGGAATTGGAATATTACAAATGGAGTATTACAATGTCGCATACACATTATTTTCCCTTTCGCCTGTGATCCTCCTTTCTCACCATGGCATGATCAGTGTGACAGTGTGTTGCTGTCAGCAGTCATGAGACTGTTACTAACTGCTTGAAAACATACACTGACTTGACAAGTCAGGAGTGCAGTAATGCAATTATAGTGGATGGCTCAACTGAGCTGTTGTGTAACACTGCTCATCTGTAAAAGCCCACTGTTTGGATCCACTGTTTAGAGCTGGGCACAATCTAAGCAAGGCTGAACCTCACACTATAACATACTGAAGGTCAGGGTCATTCATTGAATCAAGTTCATCATTTCATACAATAATTAAGGCCATTGATCATCTGCTCAAGCCACATTGGCATAATTTTGTATTTACCTTGTCGCCAATTATGTAGCTTGTAGGTTATGACATCTATAAATATTAGAGATGTCATTTTAGCACAATCTAGTGTCCAGTTCAAACCAGTGGCATGCTGGCGTGTTTGCGTATCATTTCTGAAGAGAGTTCTAATGAATTCATCACCATCACATGATTTTGGAGGAGTTGTAAGTCCAGCATTCAGCAAACTAAGTCATAGTGACCATGGCTACAAAACAAACAAACAGTGGGCAGCACAAACACAAGTGTTCTTCTTTCCTTCTCTTATTGTCCTTCAACTTCCCTTCACTTTAGCATCTCCTTCAAATTCAGTCTCCAACTATGACGTTAAAGAAACTGGATCTGATGAAGTACGGGGACATTTTTTATAACATCAAACACAGAATAACATGGGAATGCATAAATAAATATTTCTGAAAGATTCTGCCTTTACTTTTAAATTTTATATTTTAAACCGTGGCCAACTGTAGCCACCATGGTCAACATACCTTTTCAAACTGTGAATCACACTCGTCACACAAGTCACACATCACACAAGTGCCCACTCACAGCACAGGGAGGTGGAGGGGACAATGACTTTGATGATTCTTTTTTTTTTTCGAGAAGTTTGAACATGAACTTTTGTGAATACTTGCTTTGTCTGGCTATCAGCTTATTGCTATACTGCCAACTGTGTAGGCTTTAGCTTTCTAACTAGCTGTCTAGCGGAGTTGTTATCTATAACACATGGAGTAATTTGCCACCTTACACCCAGTGTGACTGTAGCAAATTAAACGTTACAGTTTTGAAATATTATTTTTAAGTTGTTTTTTTTTTTTTGCTGTGGCTTTAAAACTGTTTTGTCTGCCACATTTGGTAAGCTTAAAAAGTGAAATGCATCATGTGATGCTGAAGTCC